CTAATTTAATGATTAAGTAAACTACTCAATTTTTATATTAATTTGAAATTGGATAAGTAAAGTCCTTTGTATTACCTAAATTGCAGAATTGATAGCTATAGAAATTCCAGTATTTAAAGAGGTAGCTTCAACCAATTTAGTATTTTGCTTTATAGCTCCCGCATCCTTTGCATCTTTGATCATCGCCATACCGACTCTATCTTTAATTAAACCCGCTGGATTCATAAATTCACATTTAACATCTGGATTTTAAATAAATAGCAATGGTCTGTGTGTGTAATATGAATGTTTTAAATAGGTTGTACCTATGTATATATGTTTAGCCGTATTCTAGAACCTTTATTACAAGCTCTACTTACTTCGACCTTAGAAAGCGATATGCATATCTTCAGTGAGGTGAAACTGTAAAGGCGAGTCAGTAAAATTTGCAATCATTACATTGGTTAATTTAATAGGATACCTTTTTTTAACTCGATTTTGTATGAAATTTAATATGTGACTTTTTACCAATATCTCTATTTTGTATTATATTTATATATTTAAAGATGCTACTTATGGAACATATGACACATATGGTATTGTAAACTGCTCTTGCTCGTTTTTACAGCATTTCTAATCATATTTATGCCCTTTTCTAAATTTTATTCGAGGTCTTCATAATGATAATTATTGCAATTGTGAAGACTCGTTCGTCGATCGTTGGGAAAGTAATCATTTCCAGATGGGAAAGGAATTAGGTAAATAGGGACGAGGATAACAATTAGGGCTAGGCACCTAGAGTACTGGCGGAGGAAGCAGTCTCCCGGGGCGAATTGGTGTTGGCGGTGTCCTTGGACATCGCCAACGTGTTCAACACTATGCCCTGGAGCTGCATCAGGGAGGCGCTCGTGTATCACGAAGTGCCTCTCTACCTCCGCCGCATAGTCGGGGCATATTTGTCGGAGAGAGCCGTCGTCTACCCCAGTAGGACCGGTCTCGGTAGGCGTGAAATGTCGTGCGGTGTTCCGCAGGGGTCGGTGTTAGGGCCACTCTTGTGGAACATCGGCTACGACTGGGTGCTTCGTGGTGCCTTCTTGGAAGGTGTCGCCGTCGTGTGCTACGCGGACGACACACTCGTGACGGCGCGCGGCAAGACGCACCACGAGGCAACCCTGAGGGCCACGGCCGGGGTTGCCCAAGTCGTTGAGCGTATCCGGCGGCTGGGTCTCGAGGTGGCTCTGCACAAGTCCGAGGCCCTGTTCTTCCACGGGCTTTGGAGGAAGCCGCCTGAGGGATCTAGCCTCACGGTAGGAGGCACTCGCATCGGCATCGAGCCCTCGATCAGGTATCTGGGGCTCGTACTCGATGGCCGATGGGACTTCGGATATCATTTCCGAGGTCTGGTCCCCAAGTTGGTTGGGGCAGCGCGTGCGTTGGCGCGGCTGCTGCCCAACATGAAGGGACCCGATGACTCCTGCCGGAGACTCTACTCGGGGGTTGTGCGGTCCATGGCCCTTTACGGGTGCCCAGTATGGGCGGGGGCCCTGAAGGCTAGCAACGTCGCGATACTGCGACGACCGCAGCGAATGCTGGCCATCAGGATCATAAGGGGGTACCGCACGATCTCCTTTGAGGCGGCGAGTCTCCTGGCCTGAACTCCACCGTGGGACCTGGAGGCGAGAGCCCTTGCGGCTCTGTATCAGTGGCGCAAGGAGGCGCAGGAGTTGGGTCGATGCCCCGAGATTCGAGAAATCGATAACCGGAAATCCCAACTCCGCCAGGGGAGTGGAGGGAACGACTCGGGCAATCGAGCGCCGGGCACGCCGTCATTGCGGCGGTAAGACCCGTTATGGAGGATTGGCTCGAGAGGCGTCACGGGACCCTCTCATACCGATTGACGCAGGTGATCACTGGGAAGGGATATTTCGGAGATCACCTGTGTCTGATCCGCAAGGAGCCAACGCCTGAGTGCCACCACTGCGATGGCCAGACCGTGGACACGGCTCTCCACACGCTGGCAGAGTGCCCGGCGTGGGTTGAGCAGAGGCGAAACCTCGTGGCGGCCATCGGAGTGGGAGTTCTCTCGCTCGATAGCCTGATTGCGGCTATCGTGCGGAGCGAGAGTGCGTGGAACTCTGCCGTCTCCTTCCGCGAGCAAGTTATGCTCGCGAAGGAGACGGCGGAGCGGACCGGGAGAGGTTTAGAACTCTCCCGGCCCGCCAGGCCCGGGCACGGGCCAGGCAGGCGACTCAGGCGCCGGAGGTCGCAGAACGACCTCCGTCCTCCATAAGCGCAGGCCTGGGGGTGACAGGTGAGGCCATCTGTCACCCTAGCAGAAGCAGGCCGGGGTAACGGCGAGCGCGTTGCGAAGCGCGCTCGCTTCCAGGGAGCACAGGGAACATGAGGTTCTCACACGGGGGGGGGGTCGTCTACTCGTCTGTAGATGACCCGAGGTATGTCGGGGCACCAGGGACTTCCTTTCTAGGGTATAGCTGGTTCCCCGGCTATTAGTACCCGGCGAAGGCGTGCGGTTTTACTCGGTTCGAGTCCGACATGCCACCGACAGGTGGTATCCGAGGGGATATCCGCACGGAAAAAAAAAAAAAAAAAAAAAAGGCACCTAGAGTAAAAGTGTCCGCAAGTTTCACATCGAACATTGTTATTGAAACGCATAAATTTATAACATGGATATTAAAAGCTTTTGGACATAATCGCTATATAATGCGCTCCAAGTAAGGCATTAATGGAGGACTGAGGTAGAAGACAAAAGTTGGTATGACCTACTGAAATTTCTAATTCACCTATTCGTGATAGTAGGCTTCGCTAGATTAACTATTAGAACTAGAAGTCTAAAACTAAAAATCGACAACTTTACTTATTCTAAGTTGTTGCTTTTAAAACATTAAATATTGAGAACTTACATATTTCACATTCCAATTAATGGTTTTTGCTATATTGTTCAATTTAACAAGAGGTGTGTTTCCCACGCACTCCAAAATATTGTTGTACCTACGATTGTTACTATGAAAATAAAAAAAACACAGTATGGGTTGATCAATAAATTAGAAATCATTAAATTAAACGGTCGATCTAGTTAATACTGTGGTACAGTAAAATAATGACAACCGACAACCAAACCAATTATTTCTACATTAAATAAAAAAATGATATCAGTTTAGCAACTTGCAATTGATTTCTTTAGGTTTCAAATAGTTCATAGACTTTGTGCGGTGGCGGTTGATTTGATTGATCATGTGAATAAGACTTAAATTGTGTATTGTAACAGAAAAAATCTGAAACAACTGTGGTAGAATGGTGAAATCTTGCCGCTAAAGTGTAACTAAAGAGTTAACTTGGTGTACGTATACAAAATATCGAACTGAAATTATTTGTTAAGATGCAGTCACTTTGTAGGCTGTAAAGGGAGTTACCGCTTCAAATAGATAGTCCAATCGTCGGTCAGCGAGAGCGAGAACAAGAGGTTATACATTGCAATGATGTAGATCATGTAAATATCAAATTAAAAAATCTAATATTTACATTTATATTTTTATATCAACATAAATATAACAGATTTTTTTTCATTAAAAATGTTATTAATTCTTAATAAAACTTAAATAATAGGTCACGGTATCAAATGAACGTTATGTCATATCAGTACATTGTAGGTAATTATAATATCTGATACTAATAAAAAATAATTAAAAAATATGTTAAAGCAGAATCCAGGAGAAACCAAAATCTAACCCGTAAAAGAGGGGGGACAGACCGCGTTCTTCTGTAACACCAACTAATCAACAAACGGGTGTTCGTTGATTCGTTCACCACGGACTACCAACAGTCCAACAAAATACTAATGACACGCCAAGGTAGATGGAAAGGAGTAGCTTTAATTATATATAAAGCTCCAACAAGTGATTATTCAGATTTTCATTGCGAATTAATGTCCAGTGAAATAATATATATCATTTATCCATCTTGGTTTCGTGTCGACCCCTCGGTTTGAGAATCGTAGTCATCATCAGGTATGTAAAGCGGATGAGCTATCTTCGCCAGTTCCTGTCCAGCGCATCTCTTAAGACAGAGTAGAGATTAACCGAACGCGCATTCGCTGGCTTTCGAGACTTTAGCCACGAGTTAGATGGTGATTTCCTTGATCTCTCTTTGTTAGATTTATTAGGTTACTCATATTGAAAAAACTATCTAAAATCTGTTAACTGAAATGAAAAAATATATATTGCTGTGGCCCTCCGTGTAGAGTGAACGATACTGTCTTTTATAACCGTTTTTAATAGGTTATAGATGCTTCATTATAAAAATAATAATCTAGATTTAATTGTTCCAGTTTTCTATTGGCGTGAAGCGTGGTTTCGCTATACTAGACTTTTTTATTGAGATATACGTCGATTTTTTCTATATCTCACTCAATTATAATAAAGAAAAAAAAACGAGTCAAGAATTCTGCTCGTGCGTAGGGGAAAGTTCAACTCGTATTTCTCCCAACTGCCGTTCGTTATAATTTGCCTATAAGTATAACTAAGGTAAGGTATTCATATATCATTTATCATCTTCATATATATAATTAGCTTTTTGAAATTCGATGTAATAGAGAATCTTAATATACCCCAGTAGATATTTTCGTCATTTTAAAAATATTATCGACCTTATATTACAACAGCTACACTCCAAGAGAACCTCAAACCTTCAAGAAAAGAGCGTAATTTTTCCTAAAAGGACGGCAACGCATTTGTGACTCCTGAGTTCCAGACTTTCATGGGCGGCGATGGTCGCTTTCCATCAGGTGACCCATCTGCGTCTGCCCCCTCTGACATAAAAAAAAACATATAATACACCTATCACCGTAAGAATGTAGAAGATGTTTAAATAAAACAAGATTGTAAGGTGTGTGCGACGTATAATCATTATTACGAGATTAAATATCTTAAGTTACATTGGTATTGACAATGATGTCTCTGGTTACTCGAAGACAATACATTACGATTATTACTTCAAAAAAACAACTAGGATGACCAAGTTTGGCACTGAACTGTTGAATCATTAGTTTTATGTATATAATCTAAAACGTCATCTGCGGTGACCACGCCTTTTGGCTCGAAGTAGTCTGAAACAACAGATCTTATTAACTCTATACCACAAAAAGTTATTTTTTGATAACTATAGAACGTGGATATTAAATTGCAGATTTATAATCAAAATAAGTTAAAATATTTAAATAACTTAACCTCATTTATTTATTCATTTTCAACTTTACAAGAGAAAACTCTTGGCTTGGTTAAAAAGCCTCATATTTTTCTCATCATGACTCTCACTCGAATGAAAGTTCTTTTGCAAGAATCACATAAGAAGTTTCATGAGCATAAAAAAAATTGCTCATTTTGTAAATCATTCGATGTAAGTAACCTTTTTTATTAATCCTAGTCTAACACAAATTTGAGATCTACGTCTACAAACCTTTACCATCGTGTCCTTTTCTAACAATAATAACGAACGGCGTGATATCCAATATGCGAGACAGGAGGCCAATCTTCGGTACCCCCTTTCTACCGTTCTCGGCCATTGTGTAACAGTCTTTAACAAGATGTTCCGTCGCCAGATCTTTCAAATTAAATTCTTCAATATTTCCGTTTGGCAACCTTAATGGGTTGGTTGCAATGTTCCGGAAATTGTCTTTAGTAACAGCACCCACAAAATGTCTGAAAAATAAAATAATAAGAGAACTAAAAATAATAATTGTCAAATACACTTAGGTAGCTGTTATTACCTAATTAAATTGCGGATATCTCCATGAAACAAATGAAACAAATATTTTAATAATTGGCGATGCATTATTGTCTATTCAATACTTATAAAATTATTGAAGAATTTGTTACCAGAGCGCCATGTAAAGGTAAAAAAAAAAGGAAGAAAAGCAAAGACGTAAGAGAATTCTCAACATTATAATAAAAACTATGTAAAATAAATACCCTTTTTCATCAACGATTACTGCGATATTCGAATTTTTCATAGCGTTGATAGCTAGTTCACAAGTGACATTTTTATTAAGCAAAGGATACTTGTGAGTCAATTTTAAATCAGTTATTGGTTTGTTCCACCATCTAAAACATACATAGCACATTTAAAATATTCTTAGTTAAAAACGTATAAAGTAAACAGTAATCTAATAAAATGATGATAAAATTACTTCATGGTATGTTTAGGAGGGTCCATGAAAAGATGCGCTTCCATCCACTGATCTGTGACAAACTTAGTCATGTAGTTACGAATTCCATCGGGTAATATCACAACTATTCGTTTTCCTCTTCCGAAATTGAGTGTTTTAGCAGCCTTTATTGCTGCGCACATTGCTGTACCGCTGCTACCACCTATCACATAAAATGATATTATGTTAAATATGCAAGTTTTTGGATCTCTTCAATACATTCCTAATTCACATTTTTTTAGTGTTTCAAAGACCTCCATTGTCATCATCATCGTCAGCCTATCATCGTCCACTGCTAAACGAATACCTCCCTCAAGGAGCGCCAACTACTACAACTACTACAGTCTTGGGTAGTCCGTATCCATCTGCTGCCAGCCACTTGCTTTAAGTCGTCGGTCCTTCGTGCCGCAAGTGTAGGGCACACTATGTTTAGGTACCGAATTGCGTCCGGTGTTTAGGCTTATGGCAAATAAGATTATATCTAAATTATATGAACGTACTCGTATATTAAATTTAACGATAATGGATCAAGTGAATGATGAAAATGTTATTAATTGTTATTATTGTAGACTAGATCAACTGTTTTATAAAATAAATAGAATCAGTTACATTTATTCTGCTGACGAACACTTTGTAATGTTACAAAATAACTTTTCAGAAAGAGTAATAGCAAAATTGAACTGAACCCAATGTTACTATGATAATAAAATAAGATTTATAAATCACCGCATAATAGTCCTTCTTTTCTTGCCAGTTCTCTTGCCGTTAAAAACGATTCTTGATCAGTGATCACCTCGACATGATCAACGATAGATCTGTCCAGTACCTCCGGTGCCCAAGTTCCTCCCACTCCTTCTACCTGTTAATTTAAATAATTGTTATAGAATAAACAAGGAAGAACTACAAGGATGTTTTTTTCTATAAAGGCCTAAAAGTAACAATTCCTTACCAAAAAAGGGTGTTCATCAGCACAAGGGTCAAACAATATGGAGCCATCCGGTTCAGCAGCAACTACTATACAGTCTGGGTATTTCTGTTTAAGTCTAAGACTGACTCCACTCAGCGTACCACCGGTACCTGCTCCCAAGACTATCATATCCACCTTATCTAGTGCGCACAAAATTTCCGTTCCAGTAGTCTCGAAGTGGCTCATTGGATTAACCATGTTTTCGAACTGAAATAATAATTAATTAATTTTTAAAGATTATTTTCCTTTTGTACCTTGATTATTTTCCTGTACACGAACATAAGATGAACAAATAGAACATTTACTTTATTTACTTATATTTACTTATTACATGCTGTTTTTTTTAAATTAATAATAAAAAATAAATAGAGTTCGTCCGTGTAATTACGGATTAAGAATACGGAATGTCACTACCCCCACTCATTCCGGGGGTGTCGTATGAGCCGACTAAGGGCGCAAAACAACGCAGGATGGTGTCCTGCGTTGTTTTGCGCCCTTAGTCTGCACTGCAAAAAGAAGGAAAACTTGACACAAACCCTATACCAACCCGTCTGGCCAGCGTGGTATAGTAGGCCAAAACCTCCTTTCTAAGGAGAGGCCTATGTCCAGTAGTGGACTATTAAAGGCTGTTGATGTGATGATGATGAAATAGAGTTCATCAAGTAAGTTAATATAAAAACATATTGTATGATGCAACAATTATAGTATCGTTCAAATATTTACCTGGTTCAACATAACTATGGTTTCCGGATTTTCCCGTTGCATTTGTTTCGCAGCTTCTATTTCGTCACCCTTGACTGAGATCACTTCTGCACCCAACAAACGCATTGTGGACACCTTTTCAGATGAATTCTTCTCACCGGTTAAAATAGTGCATTTTGTATCTAAAACGTGGTAAACAGCGATTTTAATATTAATACATTATCAAAAGAATATGCTGTCAACATCTACAATTTAATGAAAAGTAAAAACGTAAAAAGAAAAAAACCTCTATAAAAGACAGATAAGATGAAAAGTCAAATACATACATATAATGTTATGTTGGTTATGAGAGTACGTGTATGTGTACGTGGATTATGATGTTATCCATAGTGGACATTGAGTATTTAGATCAAATAATGTATCACAAATCTCAAAAAAATTAAGAAACTAAGTAGCAAGTAGTAGCAAGCAAGTTGGCAATCTCCATTAAAGTTTTAGACTTAAATAATTGTCAAAAGTAAAACAAACCAATTTAAGGCGACTTTTAAGTCTTTTCAGACTTAAAAGTCGCCTTAGACTTAGACTTTGTAGACGAGAGAGTATTTTACTCACCCGTAAGTACTGCATTCATTGCAATACCAATGCCAGTGTTACCAGAAGTAGGTTCTACGAATCTGGTTGAATCATTTACGATACCCGATTTCTTAGCATTTTGGACCATTGCTAATCCTATTCTATCTTTTATAGAACCCCCTGGATTCATAAATTCACATTTCGCATCTGAAAACAAGAGCAAATAACGTTATGCATAAATTCATGATCATCATCATCACTTTTTGCATAATTGCATAGATTCACCTACGGTTAGTGCTTAATTAATTTGAAAACTAATACCGCGAAAAAAGATCATATTTATTGAATTTTACACATTCTGTGTACCTACTTATTAACCGGCTTCAAAAAGGAAGAGGTTATCAAAATACGGACGATTATCTACGGATTTTCAAAATTCTATTTTGTTCCAAAGGTGTTTATTCCGAATTTCATATAGATCTGATGTTGAGTTTGGAGACACAACGTAAATCTTCAAAAAATGACAGCAAATCGACCACGATTGGTGCTAGGTTTTTAATGCTCTTTGTAACTATTGCTAAAAAAAGGATTTATATCTAATTTATTTCACTAGCCCATTTTGTATAAATTAATTTCGTTGAATTATGATATTTTTTAAAGTATAAGTGACTTGTTGTGATAGTTGACGAATTATCAATCATAAGCCCAAAATTGATATTTTTTGATTTGTATAGCCACTGTCTGGTCTGGTCGTATAATATATATATATATTTTTTTTTTTTTTTTTTTTTTTTTTTTTTTTTAAAGACAACTCCCGCATTAGGAATAAATCCTGTGTCGCGGGGGACTTTACAAACATACATGAAACGGACACAAAGAACACCCAGACTCAGAACAACAATTTGTGGATCACACAAAGTGTCGTCCCATGTGGGGTTTGAACCCACAACACTCGGCGTAGTAGGAAGCGGCGTGGCGACCGCTTAAGCCACTACGCCATCCGTGCAGTCAATAGTCATATTACTTGAATGCTGCTTTGACTAGTAGGTGCACTACATTTAACATAGTCGTAGGGTTTCGAGATGAACATACTTACAGATTTCGCAAGTAAGTCCATATTGCTGTGGTATTTTGTTCAATCTAACAAGCGGTGTGTTACCCACTAGCTCGAGAATGCTATTATACACTTTATTTATATTATTGTCACTGAAAACATACAAAAAGCAGCGTTACATTCAGGTTTTGCTAAAAAGTATCATTTGACTAACTATTTACGTCTATCAAAAGTATTAAAAACCGTCAAAATATTTATATTAACATGATATTTCAAGATTTTATCGCTTATCATTTAAAAGTTAATGAGACACCTTCTCCACTAAATTTACCCTAAATTATATGTAGGGCAGTAAAGGTTAGACTAATGAAATACTTAAAGTAATAATAATCTATGTATTCATTTTAAACCTATGTAATGATACAGAACTTTAATGAGTAGTTTGGTATGTACTTTTTAGTCATCGCTAGTGTAAAGATTTGAACGAGTTCAAAAAATAATGATGTGTCATTATTGTTTTATATCCTTTCTACAAAATAAATATAATGATAATAAGCCTCGTAGAACTGCACTATTTAAAGATTTCTTCACTCATTTATTCATAGATTCCTTAATTTTTTCTTACCTGGGCCTTTCTCTACCTTGTGCTTCTTCTAGCAAACTCATTCGAATGTTTAGTAAATTATACATTTCAAGTAATTATTTAACACTTTAAGCACTTCAAATTCAAGTCTCAAATTGAATTACATTTTTTCATGAAATTGGTTTCTACTTAAGTAACTATAAAAGCAGTATATAAACGGCTGATGAACTAAAACTGAGCCAGTGCAATGACTCCTTGAGCAGCGGTGAAGGAAACCTTAAAACAGAATTCTTAGATGTGTATTATACTCGTCAGAGTAATCGCTGTTGAATTACAGGGGAGATGCAGAGAGGAGATTTGTAAAGCTTATGAAAAATTTAAAGGATAATGCTGCTCTGCTAGACAGTAAACTAGCACAAGTAATTTCGGCTTCAATAACCTAACCTCACTAGAGAAAATTCAAAAGTAGACAAATGATCAATACATATTTTTTGGACTTATTAATGATATTAGTTGGATAGAATTCTAATCTACTTTGAACATACAGCCAGAAAGGATTCCGTCAACCGCGATGGAGGGGATCCGGGTGGGCAGTTTAGACGTTAAATCACGCAGCACCTCACCGCTGATTGGATCAAATCAAATCAAATCAATCAAGGAACCTCATAGGGAAACCTAGTGGAAAATCCACAAAGGAGTATCAAATTAGACATTACCTTCGGTAATTGAAGGATTTGAGTAAGAAGATTTACAGGCTAATAAAGTCTAAAGAGTAGGAATAGAAACAAAAAAAAAAACAACATTTTGTTTTATACCTTACAATATTTATTTGAAGCGATAAGCTTACTTGAAATTAATTAGTACAAAATATTATAAACCTAAATTTAAACAGTTGAAGTAGATTCAGTTAATATACTACCTACGAGTATATTATTTACATCGCAGTACAGAGTGCAACTGTTAACAAAGCAACTCATTTTCCAATTCTTTAAACAGAATTAGAAACAGTTCCTACGAAGAAAATAGTTCCACCTTAATCTGGAAAGTCCCAGTACATCACGTTCCCATTACATTACGTGAAAATCTTGCCTACTGATCACTTTGCTTCAGTATTTGAGATCACAGGTAGTCTTGGAGTTAACATTTTAATATTCTAAAGCTGCCAGACAACTACAGCATAAGTCTGATCTTTTAATACCTACGAATAACAAGGAACAAGGTCGATATTAGGTCCTTACATATGAAATTTGCGTTTTGTCGTATTGACCACTTTGATCTGCTTTGGTTAAGAATTCCAATTTCATATTTATAAATTAATTTAGCTGGTACATTTGAGTTTTGAAAACAGTCATGCATTTGTTTTTTCCTCATTATTTTTTTCTTTCGCTATATTTACGAGTACGAGTTCTACCGTGGCACCAGTGCTGCAGAAACAGCTCGACGGATTAATGATATGTACGGCGCTGGTGTCGCAAAAGAAAGCACAGTACGTTTCTGGTTTCAACGTTTTTGTTCTGGAAATTTCGACCTTCAGAACCAACCCCGTGGACGGCCGGAGACCAAAGTGGAAAATGAAGAATTAAAGGCTATGGTGGAAGCGGATCACTTCAGAGATAGCTGCAGGCTTCGGGGTAGTGATAGAACTGTATTAATTCACTTGAATCAAATTGGGAAAGTAAAAAAACTTGAACGATGGGTACCTCATTTAATTTGAATTAAGTGAATCGAACTTGCAAACACGCATCGACTGCTGTGTTACTTTGCTCAATCGACACAATAATGAAGGGATTTTAAATCGAATCATTACTTGTGATGAAAAGTGGATACTGTACGATAATCGGAAGCGCTCGTCGTAATGGCTGAACCCTGGAGACCCACCCAAATCCTGCCCTAAACGAAAAGAGACTCAGAAAAGTTACTTATGAGTGTTGGGTGGACTAGCACAGGTGTCGTTCACTACAGCTTTCTAAAATCTGGCCAAACGATTTCGGCAGATATCTATTGTCAGCAACTGCAAACCATGAAGGAAGAACTAGCTGCTAAACAACCGAGATTGGTCAATTGCTCTAGGCCACTGCTGCTTCACGACAACGCAAGACCACCCACTGCACAACAAACACAACAAACAACCACTAAGTTGATAAGCTACAATTGGAATGCCTGCGACATCCACCGTACTCCCCGGACCTTGCTCCAACAGATTACCTTTTTTTCGGAATTTAGACAACTTCTTACATGGAAAAATATTCAACTCCGATGCGGCAGTCTAAACCGCCTTCAAGGAGTGTATTGATTCTCGCCCCATGGTTTTTTTAGTAAAGGGATCAATGAACTGCCTATGAGATGGCAAAAGTGCATAGATAAAAACGGTGCATACTTTGATGAATTAAATATACCGGTGTGTTAGAAAGACGAGAAGATCACCAGCTGAGCGACCCCGGCGAAAACCATATTGTCGGTCATTGAGTAGCTGGTGATCTTCTAAGTACCGGAGGAACTGGCTGTTGATAATGGATTCCATAATCTTAGAGAACAAAGGAGTTATGGCTATAGGCCTGTAGTTGGACGGGTCAGAGCGGTCACCTTTTTTAGGGATTGGGTGCACAAACGCTACCTTCCAGGAGTTCGGGACGACGCCTTGGGAGTAGGAGAGACGAAAAAGGGACCAACTCGGGAGCACACGTCTTCAACACGATAGGAGAGATTCCATCGGGCCCACACGACCTATGAATGTCAATTGAAAAGAGTGCATTACGCACTGATTTTTGTGTGAACCGGATATCCGGCATATAGCTCTGGCACCGCAGTGTGGTCGGCGGTACGTTTCACCCGTCAAAGTCGAGTTGGATGCAAAGAGTTTGCCTTGGAGATCGGCTTTCTCTTTGGCACCTATGGCATGGCACCTTTTCATACAATAGATGAGTAGGTAGGTAGATAGGTAGGAGTACTTTAAGTACAGCTCTTTTTGCTGCTGATCCCCACGAACATATACAGTAGATGATTAAACAATCGGCTACGGCTTTGTTCGTTTGTATTCAAAGTGTAGTGTCGGGTATAATTCGAAGTTCCTGAAATATATAAATAAGCTTCCTTAATCGACCACTGACTGTGTTTAAGTGTTTCTCCCAGTTTAATTTGTCGTCAATATTCAATCCTAAATATTTGTTTTTGGTTGTCCTTGATAACTCGGGACAACTGCAACGTACAGACAGTTCGATTGTTGATCGGTTACAAGGATGAAGGGGCGAAGTTAAAGTGTTTTCGGCAAAGATGCCATAGTTTTACTAAAGCATAGGAATTTTGTTTTGTCGACATTAATTGATAGCAGTCTATCTTTAAGCCAAGCTGTAATACGAGACATACCTACATACATTTTTCAGCTATTTGTACATTCTCCCATTTATTACTATGCAATACTATGTACATCGGCAAACATTTGTATGTCAGTACCCTAAATTTCAAATTTACATCGGTCGTTAATGTATGCAAGAAATAGCGTAGGACTGAGGGTGCTGCCTTGTGGAATCCCATATGATCTCACACAGGTGTTACTGGCATGGTTTTCAACTCTAACACACTGGTATCTTTCTGTGAGATAATCTTTTAACCATAAAAGTGCGTTTTCCCTCATTCCTAGATTCTCAAGGCGAGTTAAAAGGATCGGAATAGAAACTATGTCAAACGCCTTTTGTAAGTTAAGGAATACGGCTAAACATTTATCACCCCTGTCAATGTGATGTAATATTAGATGTAAGTTGTAATACAGCGTCGTCAGTAGAGCGATTGGCTAAAAAACCGTATTGTTCCAACCCAAGAAGTTAATTGCTCTCCATATAACTTATTAAAGGCTTGCTCATAATTTTCTCAACAACTTTAGAGAGGGTACTGATAAGTGAAAAAGGCCTATAGTTTGTGGGAAGATGCTTGTTTTTGCTTGATTTAAAGATGGGACAGATGAGAGCGTGCTTAAATATTTTAGGGTAGATGCCCTGTTCGAAGGTTAAGTTGGTCAAGTAGGAAATAGGTTTGGCAAGGTGGAAACGAAACCTTTTAAAAAAGGCAGCTGTTATTTTGGCTATACCTGGAGCACTATGTGATTTAAGGCCACTAATAACATCAATCACCTCTGCAGGGTCCGTTAGGTGTAGTGCCATTGAGTGTAACGGTAAATTTGTGAATTTAGCATTTTGAGCTAGGGTTGTCTAATCGGTATTTAAGTTTTGGTGAATTACTTTAGCAAGGTTTGAACCAAGTGATGCAAAAAACTCATTCACATCATCTAGCGATCTAGTTACATTCGTGTTTATGATAAGCAATTCTGTAGACGATGCCTTATTCTGTTTCAAATTACATTATTTCTCAATCGTGTTCCAAGTTTCCTCTATGTAATACAATTCCTTAGTTTTTGTTAAGTTTGTCCCTGTAGTAATTTGATTTCAACGTTTTAATTTGACTCTTACTTCTAGATTATTTGAATTTAATTTTACTTTCTTATGCATTCTGTCTCGTCTATGTATGGACTTTATTAAACATATAGTTATCCAAGGTTTTAAAGGTATTTTACATTTGGAAATTTTGTTAACTAAGGTATTGCTGCTTACCAAGCTTTCTAATTTTTAAGTCAGTATTATGGCAGCTTGATTTACATTTCAGTTACAGAGTAGTTAGATTAGTATAGATCGTTGCTGCTTGTTGTTAGATTTAGGTATATAGGAGAATTAGAATTAAGATTATCTGACATAATATCCAAATTCAGATCACCAGTCAAAATAACTACCTTATTCGAGCTACATGTTTTTAAGATATTATCTAGTGAAATTATATAACTAAGCGGCTTTTTAAAGCAGGGTGGACGGTAGGTGCAAATAATAATATCATCTGCAATAATCACCACAATACAGTTTCCTTCAAACATTTCCCGAATACCGATACATTTGATCTGAACATTTTGTAGTTATTTATGTTTGGCAGTCAAATTTGTTCATTCGTCCAACATTCTGTTAATACAATTACATCTACAGGTTTATAACATTTTAGGAGAAACATAAAAAAAATATCGAAGTGAGCTTTTATACATCGTATATTAACTGTTAAAACTTAAAGAGAGTCATTGTTGGAACACGTTATCAGTTGCAAACAACAGTAGGATCACTCAATCTTCTGCACTCAATACTTTCTTCATTGATGTCATTTATTACTGTGGTACTTATAGAATTGTTTTTTTTTTAATTGAATTGTTTTAATTAAAAAATATAACACTATTCAAAATAATATAGGGTAATTTGCAAATATTATATGCACGGTAGATATTCAAGTAATTAATAAAAGTAATAGTCAGTAGTGTACACGCTATGAGTTAATAGTTATCTATGTTTATCATAGATGTAACATACAATATATAAAAAACAAATAAAAAACTAAAAAATACAAAAAAATAAGTTATACATTATACTGATAGGTAGTCGATATCTGCTATCAGTCCTTAGTCATATGAATTTACAGACATTATCAAGATCTGATTCAGTTTTTATAGTGATATATCGTTCTCCATCTGTTTTTCGCACGAGGACTTTGCCGTAAGAGATCCAACAGTATTACTGCTCGCAAAACTATGAGCTAGATAGTACTTTCAGTATAGTACTTTCGGCGTAAATTTTTCTGATAAGTATATTGCCTTACTGGGACCTGGTACTTTAAGATGCGTCGTATTTAGCTTGTTTTGTTTATTGTTGTTATTAAATTTAAGCACCTTTTTTTACGATGCTATCTTTGGTTACTGCGCATATAAAGTAAACATTTATCGTGGTAGATTTGTTTTTATTGTTACTCGGTAGATATCCTTTATTTTTGATGGTTTAAAATTATGCCCAATCACGGCAGCAGTCTTCTACATAATAGCACAAAGGTCCTCCTTACTCTCTCCGGAGTTTTGAGGTACGTTCTTTATCTCTATTTTTGTGGAGTACAGTTGACGTTCCATAAAGTTCACTTTCCACTCTCATTTACGCATATAACGACGGTCGTTCTCTCGTTCAGTCTCCATATTTGTGAATTTAATTTTAATGTCATCATATTCTTTTGATATAAAGTTGATGGAATTCATTATCTTTACATTTTGAGCAATAATTTCTGAGATTGCTGTTTGTATTGCTCAAAACTTGCTTTCCGATTGAGCTGTAGATGTCGATAACAATGAGCGTATTTCATCCAAACGAGACATGCAATCACACTCTTCGCGTTTACGTTTTACACGAGTATTAATATTGGCCTTTTGTCAGACAGTAGTCAGATCAAGGGAGGATCTAGTTTGCCGATACCGTAGAGAGCAAGAGACAACAGTGACGCTTTCACTTTGTTCCGCAAAAGGCGTACTTGGAGGTGTGCGTTTCAGCGGCATAATTGATATAAGTAAATTACCTTGGTGTGATATATTCCGTCCAACAAAACAGACCGCCACCCGCTGCCGCTTATAAATCGCGGCAAGCGACACGCCCTGCGACGTCTACGCAAGCACGGTGCCTGCGCGGCGACCCCAGGGATGCCGTCTCTGGTGTTGTTGTCCTGTTCCTGAGCCGACCCGGTGCAGTGATCACTCTTGAATTATGCGCGCCTAGTACATTATGATTCTAATTACGTGTATCAAAACATTTTTTTCATTTATTTTACATTTTGCACAATTTTTAACAAAGTGCACACGTATTAGCTTTCGCGATCCGAGGGGAAGAGGACTGGCAGTTGACTGGCAGCTTTATAGTCTAGCACTATTTGGTTAGACAGTGTTTAGTCACATTAACAGGAGCAGTAACTAATGTTTGAACACTACAAATCACTTCACAAATTGTACAAAAATCACAAAACTATACATTGTCACTGTGTGTCTGTTGTGTTCCCTTGAGGTTTTCTTTCGTAGTTTTCGTACAACCAATTCCAGTACTTGATTCTTTTCGCCTCAGGGTCAGTTCTGACAGTGAAGTTGCCAGTGATGTCGAGATAACTTATTTGTTCTGAATCGTTTACTTGTGGCCACGTAAAGTCATCTACAGAGACATAGTCGACGGGAGGTGTGGGATTCCTGAAAAATACATTCAAATAAATAAAAAACTAGTTTTTAGAAGACTTCGGGCTGTTTAATTTAGTATCAGAGTAAAAACTATATATTATCTACACACTAGATTGACTTTATGTCGTCTCTCGTCGTCGTGTCGTCTCGATTATTTATGAAAGAGTATCGAAGATAAGGATCCGGTGCCATCTTCAGAACCAGATCAATTCTCTGTTTCCATGACTTAAAAGATGACGGATTACCACGCGGAGGAAAATTATCGTAAGGTATCAAGTAAGCATTTTTAAATTAATTATTTCTCATGGCAATGGCTTATTTAAATACAGATTGGTTCATGAAAGTACATATTTTACCTCTTTTTAAAAGAAATAAGAGCGGATATCTAAAAATAAAACGATCATTTATTTTTAAACTGATAGCTTTTTTATTTTTAAAATTTAATGCCAATAAATACTAGTGTTTAAAGCTAGTTTCCAATTTTCATGGACAACCTGTATATAAGATAAAATGTTCTGTGTATGTATATATATATATATATTACTGTAACCTCGTACATAACATTTATAATGTAAGTGAGTCGCTCTATGACTTAGCATAGACCTCTAGCGGAAAGTAAAATAGACAATAATGTAAATTAAAAACAAAAATCTAATTGATGACTGACTTTCTTATTACGTCAAGTAATACCGTAAATCCCGATTGCTCCTTTATGACGCAAAAGACTTATGATTACGTATAAATAGAAAGTTTACAGAGTAAAATCGATGGTAGATATAGTACCAGTGATATCAACACAAGGAGAAGTTATATGTTTAGGTAAATTTAAAACATCTTTGATGAAGGATTTGGTTATCCAAGCCTCATAATATATTAGTGGATCACAATTGCATCTTTCGGGGTCGACTACGATGGTGGGCATTGAAATTCAGTGCTAGGTTATGTCCATCGCTTGCGAAGCGCGCTCGCTTCCAGGGAGCAGAGGGAACATGGGGTTAGCACACGGGGGGGGGGGGGTCGTATACTCGTCTGTAGATGGCCCGAGGTATGTCGGGGCACCAGGGACTTCCTTTCTAGGGTATACCTGGTTCCCCGGCTATTAGTACCCGAGACGGCGTGCGGTTTTAGTCGGTTCGAGTCCGACATGCCACCGATATGTGGTATCCGAGGGGATTTCCGCATGGAAAAAAAAAGTTATGTCCATCGCAGTAGTTACTGACAGTCCACTGAAATGAAATATAATGAAAGTACCAGTAACTACGAGTAGTGGTACGCTGAACATAGCAGTATATTTATAATAGCGTTATAATTCTCATATATGCAATAGCAAAAGCTATATTATATATTAGCTTTTGCGCGCCTCCGCCTGCCTGTATGTGTTTTACTCGCTGTGTTTGTTACTCGCTGATAATGTAGCTTTCCATTACTGAAAGAATTTTTTTAAATATGTTATGTGGTTTGGGCCTGAAAGCGTAAGGTAACAAACAAACTCACTTTTACATTAAAATATAACTATGGATTCTTCAGATAATAGCATACAAATGATACTATTTTGTTAACCTACGTAACATGGCCTATTGCTAAGTCTACATGAAATGTCATATATTTCAGGCTATAATGGCTACTACTACTATTAACGGCTTAGATATATATGTTTAACGTTTTATTTTTTCAAACCAGTTGTAGGCGTCGAAGTATGAAATAAAACATATTTTCTTTCTTATTTTCTTCTATATAAATTGAGCTCTATCGTTTAAACCTACCAAACTCTTTAGCATTAGAATCAGTAATAATATCTCTGCCAGTAACGCTGGTAGTTAAACTTATATCAATATTTTTGAAGATAAACTTGCATAAATTAATGCTTACCCTGTTTTAGCAAAGTTTGTCCACATTTGAACCATTCGTCGTGAAACTGCTAACTCAGTCGAATCATCGTCCAATCTGTAGTTTAATCTAGAAAAGTAGAACAGGTAGCCCATCTCGTCGCCATGACATGCGCCAGGATGCGTGATTCCTAGCATGCGCTTGAACAGCCCCAAGGCTCCGTCAAAGGCGAATCGATACAAATAGGTCGGGCTAGTGCGATTACTTTTAACTTGCTGACGAACTGTTTCTAAAACTGGACGCAGGAACATAACATCTGTGAATAACTATAAAAAACTTCATGTTACTATTTATATAATGCCTATTTGTTTTTCGAGTGAGTGAGTGAGAGAGGCGCACTACATGTACTACCACAACAAGCGGCCTTTTTTGTTTTATCTGGTACCAATCGAGAGAGAGAATTTATGTTTATCTTTGCTTAAAAAATATTATGGAACGCGTCAAAAGTGCAAGGAACTTCTACTACTTCCTGGAGTATTTGCGATCTAAAACGAAACGCATAGAGGTCCATGAATAAAACTCTGTAAAACACTGAACCACCCGACAGCACGCCGCACTGGCAGCTGTAGAAAAGTATACGTATTCTGTCACCATAAGGACTTTCCACCGAGCTCTAGACAAAACACAACCCTGTGATATACACGTTTCAAAGTACCATGGACCGTTAGAGAAATAAAGATCCTGTAGGCTTAAAATAACCCATAAGTAGTCTAATAGTAGTAATCTAATTAATTATTGCAGTAAGCTTACATTTTGATGCTGGTTGCCCAAATTTTAGAAAAATATAATCACTTAGCAATCCCATTCAAAGGTATTAGATTATAGACAGCTAATCGTATTGTATATTTTTCTAAATGGTCGATCACCAGTGAAGTTTGTGTTATAACGAGCCCAAACTAAGAAGAGCTTGTACTATGGCTGACATATATACTTTTTTGTAAATACATACTTATTATACATAGAAACACCCAGACCAAATCAAACATTTAATGTTCATGCACACAAATGTTTGACTTGAGCGGAAATCGAACCCGCGACCTTTGGAATAGCAGTCCGTCACACAAACCACTACGCCATCCAATAGTCAAAGTTGAAGTTGCAAAGTTGAATTAGCGTTTTTTTTTTAATTAGTGGCGTATTTATCTTACATCAATTAGACTGTCCACATTCCTGGCATCGACAGGTCGCTGTTGGAAATAAAACGCTCTGATGGACTCAGATATCTTATCAGTGATAGTTTCGTTGGTACTCTGGAGCTCTGGCGGCACCACACGCCTGAATTCCTGCTCTAAGTCGTTCAACAATTTCGGGTAGTGTTGTAAACCTGCGAACAATTTAAGGTTACCTATTAAAAATATTACAGTGTGGTTTCTTTACGATCTGTAGTGATATTCACCAAGGAAACAGTTTTGCGGATAGCGCTGTCAAAGCATCGAATTTCAAAGTAAGTTAGTTTGAAGTTCGACGATAAGTGAATAGCACTGCTGGCTAGAAAGCGGGTATTTATGATCCAAATTTAAATCAAAATTTTCGAAATCAGAATTTTAATATTTTAGTGAATATTTATTTATTATTTTTTACAGAAAGCTAAAGTAGTAGCTTTTTGTAATACAATTTTATATTTAAAAAATACATAGTTATTATGAAAATAAATTTGAAAAAGATAACGTCACTAGTGGAAAACCAGTCCTAGAGAAATCAAACCTCTCACAAAAATTTATTGCCTACGTATACATCTCTAAAAATCTTTCACTCAGTCACCGCAAATTTTCGCATTTGGTAGGCGCTACGTGCTAGAAGAAACAGTCAATATGATATTATCTTACTTTGAATTCATTCTCAAACTAAGCAAATCTTATATTGTATTTCATAAGACACACGATCCATACTTATATTATAAATGCGAAAGTGTGTCTGTCAATCTTTCTTTCTGTTACCTCTTCACGCTTAAACCACTGAACCGATTTAGATGAAATTTGATATGGATATAGTTTGATTCCTGATAAAGGACATAGGTTTTTTACCGTCATAACCGACATACACGCGGGTAAAGCCGCGGACAATAGCTAGTAAATATAATAATAGCTTTACACATCTCACACACGGCTGTCTGATCCCAAACTAGGCAGCCTGTTCTATGGTAACCAGACTGAAACATACCTACTTATATTTTCTAAATACAAAGGTACATATCGTAGAAAAAATTCACCCAGACAGAACAAATAATCGTGTTTATCACGAAATTATTAGTCCTGGGTGGGAATGGAATTCGACCTCTAGTTTAGCATTCAGGATCACTGACCACTGGGCACACACATCAATGAATAATAAATGAATACTGTATAGTTTAGTAAAGTTAAATAACTACCACCGAAATTCAAATTCCTAGCTACATTTAAGTTATAAAGTGCGTCATAAGATAATTTCAAGTTATTTGAATGATTTGCATCTTGAAGGAACCATACTAGAAAGTAAAATATGTTTCCAAGTTGAATTAGTCACTTGTGTACTTCTATTATGTAAAGAGTTACAAGTAACGAGCGCTGGGTTCACCTGCGGTCATTATTTACTCGCTTGTTCTCAGTTGTTAAATACACTTACGTAACATTACTACCGCCAGAAGTTATATAATTCTAACATCTTATTTAATTACGCGGACGTGATTATGTGCTTTTATCAACGTGCTCTACTTTGTATCTCCGCGACGTCCTTCAGCGCTCGAGGTTATGGCAAGACCTTTAGGGTTCGATTTCCAAACAAATGTATTTCTCTGGAGATATTTGGTAGAAATTTTTTATACCTTTGCTAACATGACTGAAGTAGAACAGAACATAAACAAACACATGAAGTATTAAAGGTGGGGAACAAACTCACAAAGTCACCATCAATTTCAGTTGACAAGAAAAAAAAATAGAAACAAAAAGTTTCTAGATTATCTTTTTATTAGGCATTTATTATGCATTACAATGGATAGTATGTTGTTTTGTAGAAATCTGTACACAGTATTGAGTTCTTCCTCTTGACCTAGGTTCGTCCCTGTTTCTCTAGAGGCAGTGTTCTGTTTTTAGGTCACTAAAAAAAAATTGATTTATACTACATTATATATACTTAACTGTGTCATTATCATAAAACAGTTCAATGCATTTCGTTTTCTGCTTACTTTGTGATTTTATTTATTTATTTTAAACTTAATGCACATATTGTACAAAGGCGGACTTAATGCCATTAGGCATTTTCTCCCAGTCAACCTTCAGGTGATGTAGAAATATGATGCGGTAGGTGCAAAATAAAATATGAAATTTAAAATAATTTAACTTTTGAATGCAATGCGATTTGTTGACATCCTGATTTCGGCAGGGAGGGCATTCCAGAGAAGAACTGGCTGGACGTAGAAGGATTGAAGAAAGATTTTGTGTACAATGCATGTCTAGTCGCTTAGTATTCTATCTAGATAGTACAATAGGTATAGGTTATAAACAATGTAGGTACACAAACACGTCGTATTACACATTATGGAGTAATATAAGTAAGTCAAAAGGAAAACATTTTGCACATAAGTAACATTTTTCTAAGGAATCATGGCTCAAAATGTTATTACGAAAAGTATGTCGAAAACTGTGAAACTGAGCCAATGTTAGCTTTAGACATGACATAACAATACGTGAGGAGAAACATATCGATCTTGTTACAATAGAAAGTATTCATTAGTGAGATCACATAAGAGGCTTGTTACTTCAGACAAATTTGTTCCGACACTCTATGTTTAGCAATAATAATCTTTTGTAAACAAATTCTGCTGTTCTCTGCGATGTAAGACATCATTGCCTTGTCAGTTTATAATTGGGACGTATTTAGGTTTGAAAAACTAATTTAGTCATCATAATTAGCAACAAAAAGTAGTGTGCCTGTCAGATAGTAAATTGATTGACAAAATATACGTAAATATCCATGATTTAATCAATTGTGGCGACTTCCACATGCGGTGAAACAAAGAAACATACTACAGCGCCATCTATCGAAGACACACCAAACTACGGAGTAACTGGTAATACTGTAACGTGATATTAACAATTCTCTCGCCGATGAGCATATATAGAGCCAGGCATGATCACCTCGCCTGGGAGGATCCACAGAGGAACACAAAGGGAGGATCCTCCGAATCCTCCCTTTGCGTTGGCATGACACCGCGTTCCTCCACAAAATTAAAATAGATAATTTGCCAAATAGTACAATTACCGGTGGCTTCGAGAATTTAAATGCTTTAGACATGTATATACTATACATGTCTAAAGCATTTAAATGTGTTTCATATCATCATCATCATCAACAGCCTCTAAAAGTTCACTGCTATACCACCCTTTTTTTTAACGTGTAGAAACCCCCTCGGGCCGTCACCCCACCGGGGTTTACGGTGGTCGGTGTGTCGGAATCAGACTGACTAAAACAACACGGTGTGCCACTCTGCACCTGTAATAGGAGGGATCCGGGAAATGCTGTTATTAAGACATCCGGACCTCTCCTAGCGCCTGCCCGCAACGGCGCGAGCACCACCTTCGGGTACATTCTCTATTTAGGAGACGTTTGGCACACGCGGACGTCACCAGCGGCTGGACGTTATGACGGGTGGAGGGGAAAACACGTCCGTCCACCCGCGACCACACTCAGAGCGGAAAGAGGCGCTGGTAAGCGCGCCTCCGCCGCCCGGTTTGTCGGCGGCGAATTGGGTCCGAGTGGAGATTATCCTCCCGGGCCCTCTCCGCCGCTTTCTTCTGCGAGACGTCTTCGCAAAAGGATGCGACCGCGGTAAAACAACCATCACTACCGGCCATGGAGCGTATGACATAGGGGTGGTGACACTTTAACCGAATATTAGAAATAGTCTTTGTATGTAATCTAAATCTACATATACTGTATAATTAAGTGAGGGGAATTCTAAATTTTCCCCGGCTGTTAGTACCCGAGACGGCGTGCGGTTTTAGTCGATTCGAGTCCGACATGCCACCGACAGGTGGTATCCGAGGGGATTTCCGCACGGAAAAAAACAAAAAAAAAAGGGGAATTCTAAATAATCGCAGATCTGACATATTTTTTATTTTACTTGTTTTCATCACGTATCATGGAAACATAGTTCACATTTCTGACTTATCCAAACAATATTATTACCTAACTGCGTAAATATCGTAATACTCTGAAACCTCACTATCTTAATCTATAAATACCGCTAGACTTCTTTATCTTCATGCGAAATGAGACTTGACATCACGGGAAAATACAAAGTCGTGTAATGTCATATCATATCTTTTTTCTTATTATTTACACCCATCAAATAACAATCCTGAATTAATACTCGTCTAACAACCGTAATTTCTAGCATTTAATTAGGCATATTGTGTCGCATTAACGTTATCTACCAGTTCAGTACCACTCATCTATCAGAATAAATTGGACATTTCTAGAATGATAGATTACGTTCATGACTTCTTTATTTTTTTGTGCCAATAACGTTATACGCTATCACCGCTACGTCGCAAATATTTAATGTACTAATAACTCATTAAATAAGTCATATTTTTTTGTCTATTTATTCATTTTTAATCTTAAAGTATGTTGATAATAACTTCCTTCCCAGTGGAATAATTTAAAACGTCACAGTTAAAATTCGTAAAGATCACACAGCGATAGGATTATGTATTTATTTAAACATTATTTATATCGAGATGTTTATATAAATATATTATTTATTTACTTCTTTCTCACTGCAAACCTTCGCATTCATTTCTAGATAAATCTGTTGTAATTTATCCCATTCTGTGGACACCACAGAATGGAAAGATTACAACAGAATGATGAGGTGCAAGAAAAATCTTACAGTATTATTTTAAATGTGTTTCAGAAAGTTCATTATATTACATTACATATTTAGCAACATTACAAAATTCTAATGTTGCTAAAAAAATCATGTACTTAATGATGCAGGTCAAATTTTAGCATGTACTTAATCCTGCGATTTTTTTGTCGAGGTGAATGTGTCAGATACTGTATTTACGTAGCATGCAGGAGGAGTACCTAATGGAGAAACGACGAGACAAGTGTTCTCAAAGAAATGACATAGTGATAGCAAACCACACCTACTCAGGAAAGGCGACTTAGTAAGGCGAATAGTATTTAAAACATGCGCGATAAGAGCAAATATTGCAAAATAAATAAGATTAATGCGACTTAACCTATAAAATTTAAAACGTTAATACGCACCAAAAAAGGACAGTGAAAACATTGACAGATACCTACATAGATTCACATAATAATGACTGACAATGTATTAAAATAAAATACGAAAGGGAAAATTCAAGTCAAGCTACTTACGTCGAAACAAAATAATTCCTTCCTGCGCATTGTATCCGGTGAGGAAGGGTACATCGGCACCTGTTAGGTTATCATTAGGGGACTGTGTAAGAAAGGCGCCTGGGCCTGGAGGCTCCAATGCTGGCAAAAATGGCAGCGCAACAGTACTCTGCAGATCCATCGACTTGCCCTTCGCACCCACGAGTCGTGCACCAGCCTTTACCAACAGTTCACTAGGCGTAGCGCGCAGGTATCCTGTATAAAGAAACTTCATTACAACTCAGCTAAAATAACCGTTAAAAATACTTAAGCTAACATTTTATGGAAACATTTTTATGCAATTCCACAATGTCCTTTTTGTTTATTGGCCTTCAAACATTCCTGAATTATATTTTGTAAAATGTTTTTAATAAATAGGTTAAAAATCAAAAAAAAAAGTATGGGAAAGATTATATCTTTAAACTTAACGTATTAAACCTTAATTACCTACAGTAAAAATAAACACTATTTGAGGCATGTCTGAATAAAATAAAATAATAAAATCAAAAACCTTGATGAAGGCATCTTCGAGCTATTAAACTTTATTCATACACATTCTGAATAAAATATTTAATTATTTTTTTCCAAAGTACGTTAAACTAAATTACTCACAAAGTTTTGTACTAAAATAATGAAAGAGTCAGACGATATTTATTTGATATTTTTCGATATAAATTTCAATGATTGTGATTAAATAGATAGTTGATAACAAATTCCTCATTCACCTTTTAATCAAATTCAAACCTTATTGTACAAAAGTTTGCATACACGAATAAAAGTTAGAATTAAATACATGCCCAATAGTTCAGCTGTACTGTTAGTATCGATGCCGAGCTCCTTGCCGAGTTCAAAGGCCCGTGCAAGTGGTTCGTGCGCTAACGCCCAAGGAGCAATCGCAACACCACTTTGGGCAATCGCTGCGTGGAACAAGCCCTAGAATAAATAAACAAGTTTAACATTTTTTTTGTAATTATTATTTAAGATTGTTTTTAAAAGAGTCATGTATTGACAATCTGTTAACTTTCTAAAAATCGACATATCTTCGAATCATTTATTTTCTCCTTATTGCTATTTTGCTTAGTCATACATATCGATATAAAAAAGGAATGTACATGATGCATCTATTGACAATTCGTTAAATTATATTATCCAATATCAGTTGGGTTCTCTTAAGATTTCGCAAATCTACGAATTTGATAATGTCAATCGAAATAATACACCACTCTAATGATATTGTATACTTTTATATATCTAATCGTTATATGATGATGCTTTGCGAGAAGTTATCGTCTGGTAATCCATGACATGGGTAAGACTACATTCGGATATATCCATATTTTTGTTTTGACTTTTTGTGTCCATTGAGGCGAACCCACCAACCATGTGCTGCGTGTATATGGTTGGTGGGTTCGCACATAATAAACTAATAAAAAAATATGTACATATAACTGAAACATTTAAATAAACATGGATTCTGGGCCTTATTATTATGTGTTACGTTAGTCAATTTCTCAAACAAGAATTTGAACGAGACATTGAGTTTTAGGCAATGCTGACATTATATAACATTTGTTGATTGCATATCGAAACAATATACGAGTACACAGTTTCAAATGTAGATTTTGCAACATAATATACAGATACCATTTTGACATTTAGATAAAATACATTTTTTATACAATACATGTGTCATTTTACGAACAATTACGTGGATGACCTTATGTATTATTGTGACCTTTGGCTGCTTGCAGTACAGAGTATTTACGGTTATATGTATATTTAAACTTGTGAAAATTTAGGACTACTCTTCGTTAGGAATGCAGACAAAATAAAACACTTCATGAATAAGTTTTAACATACATAACGACCATGTTACATAAGTAAACTTACCTGTGAGGCTGGTGATAGCATGTGAAGGTGGACAGAGGCCGCACCAGCGGACTCCCCGAAGATAGTAACCTTGGTTGGGTCGCCACCAAATGCCTCAATGTTGTCACGAACCCACTTCAACGCCATCACTTGATCCTGATTGGATTTATAGTTAAATATCATATAACTTAGTAGTGTGATTTACGAGTATAACAGTAGCACAAAGCTTTTCAGTTCCAGAAAAACTTTGTCAAACAAAAATATGATGCTTAATAATTAAATGTAAAGGTTTTTATCAACAAGTGTTGTTTGAGGGTACCGACTAGTTGACGTAGTTCGTTGACTTTCAACAACTACCAACTACTACAACTACTACCAACCTTGATAGTATAATGGTGTGATTAGTGTGGGTGAAACATTTGTCAGAGCTCTATTGTGGCTGGACTGTGACTCCTGACAACTCATAAAAATAAATATGACACCGATTAATTCCTAACTCATTGCCGATTAGCTGACCCGCAGCCGCGAAACTTCGTCAGCGTCTTTCAAAAGGAATAATTTGACGCTGTTTTTACAACATTTTTAATTGATGCTCGGCTCCTATTGGTCGTAGTCTGATGTTATAAAGCTTGTGGCCTTCCTCCATAAATGGGCTATCCTACATTAAAATAATTTATCAATTGGAACCAGTAATTCCGTAGACTGAACTCAGAATCGAATGCCGAATTAACCTTCATCGATGAAATGTTCACCGAAAACATCCTTCGTTCGCAATCGGTTCTACAAATTGTAGATCACCGATGAACGGTTCGCCGAAAACACCTTTCCTCATTGGTCCCTTTTATGAAACAATCGTTGTAGGTTCGACTATGACATCCTTCATCCATGGTCGCTTTTACGATGGTAGATACTTAATCAAAAATAGTTTTTTTTTATGTACATAAGGGGGCAAACGAGCAGACGGGTCACCTGATGGTAAGCAACTACTACTGCCAATGGACACCTCCAACTCAAAAGTCACAAGTGCATTGCTGCCCCTATAGTCCCGCTGACTCGAGCGGGAGGGAAAAGCTCTTGGGCTCGAAAAGCAAAGAAAGAATTGCTTAACACCAGTTTTCTGTGAGGCCGTGGTATCACCCCGGTCGAGCCGGCCCATTTGTACCGAAGACTGGCTTTCCCCTACTTCCACTCCCACAAATTTAATTGTGTTATTTTAAAATTACTAGCAGCGAAAAAATGCGCAAAACTTAAGATCGGGTTAATTTTAACAAATATAATTATTAATATATTTATTAATATAATAATTTCAAAATGTAACTGTTAAAATTATTAAAAACATTTCTTGATAATTTTAGCCGGTCCATGATTATGAATACGTTTACTTACATTCGAAAATAATCTCCACCACGAGTAGTTGTAAACAATTATTACACTAACTATACTTGTAATTAAAAAATTACATTCTTCGACAATATGTTTTGCAATGAACTCACATCATAATGATTTAACTAGCAATTCCTAATTATTTTTAAATTACAACAATTGTTTTTGCAATAATTAACTATAAATATTTCCAGTTTTATAACTTAACAAAATATTTCATTCATGATACAGTACTCGTATAATTCTTATATTCAATCTATGTACATCAGGCATACGACTCTTATCCGCTATTAGGATTTCTCTTTATGATATTTTTTGATTCGTCTTTGTACCAAATCATAAACGACCACACATATGTTATTTTGATGTGTCTGGGCCCCGTGATTAACGAAATAGCTCCTACAGTTGCCTTTTTATGAAGGTACTTACTATGCCTAGATACATACTTACTAAACTTATGAAGTTAGTAAACCTTTAAACTGTTAAAGTCAGTAAAACTTAAACTGAACAAAGACATTTTGTCATTAGGCAGTTATCGAATCTGTTATTAGGTACTTACACATAAGAGAAATGTTGTAAAAAAAACTTATTTTCTTGTGTGTTATGAACTTGTGTTCTTAAATCAACGTTAAGTTACTTTATATTAACTCTTTAATTATCAAATACTGATGAATCTCCTGTTCGTAACTGATTTCATAGTTATTGTAATAATTTTAATTGTTTTTTGGTATGACGAAAATATATTTAAAAAAGACTGGACGTTGCATCAATAATATACGAGAAGAATTTGTTGGAGAAGATTAAATAATAAGTCATTGTTTTATTCTCTTTAATTGCAATATTATAAAGTCATGAACTAATTAACTCTGGCAATATTACGCCGCTATATATATCATCAATCATCATCAACAGCCTATACTAGTCCACTGCTGGACATAGGCCTCTCCTTAGAAAGGAGGTTTTGGCCTACTATACCACGCTGGCCAGACGGGTTGGTATAGGATTTGTTTCAAGTTTTCCTTCTCTTTGCAGTGCTGTTGTCCTGCTTAGTTTGCTCCCTTAGTCGGCTCTTACGACACCCACGGGATAAATTGGGGTGGTGACAATTTGTATTCTTAATCCGTCACCACACGGTATATATATATATATACATTTATGTCCAATATATACATTTATATATATACATATATTAGATTGGAGACTGCAATCAGCAAGTGCCATGTACCGTAAAATAGTAAAGAACTTTGTAATGTTACACTACATTTTCGTTATTAAATCTTACGCCAAATACGCTCTTGACCGAAATTTGTAAACCATGACCGAATATTGCCAAATAGTATAATGTCCCATGCTAAGATACTGTATTTTCTCAATACCTCGCATATGCATATAATATATATACCATAATCTGACTTAACTTTCTTTAAAAGGTTTGGAACATTTACTGCTAATGCCACGCTTCCTGATAAAATATTACCCTACTAAAGATTTACTCAAAGATCAGCCATTCTACCTTCTTTAAGGCTTTATGGTCTAGACCAAACACATTCTAATTTGTACACCAGTACGATTATTATTTTTGACCTAATGTAAAACTTGCGAAAGCATAACTCAGATAAACATATAAAAAACCCGAAAAGATATCTATGCAGATAAATAACGATGCAAATAAACTAATACATACGTACTATGAAAAGAGAATGTTGAAGTTTAAATGAAGTGATAAAACTATGATTATTAAATAATTAGTCAGTAGTGCGGAAAGCCTGTTACTGCCTCTCATTTCTAACCGTCATCTAAGGCCCGGGTTCATCTCGTTTATTGCTATTGATCAAAATTGTTGTACAATTTATTCACTGTCCGCTATATTTATTAAATGGAATTTTATACGTTTCAATAAGAACTGTTTTGTATTAACTATTTATTTAACTGTTTTGTTCACAATTAAAAGTTACATGTATCACATCTCTTCAGAGTAGAGATTATAAAGTCCCTGCATAAAGAAACCCTAATTACAACGTGATTGTAATACAATTAAAATAGAAAGATTATAAATATACGAGTATGTATCAATACAATGCACAACTACCAGTTTACTATCTACGTAGAGTACTTGCGCAAAATATTACGTAGGTACAAATATTCAAGTGGCTCGTAATACATAGTTTACATTGTAAAGACAATGTAAAATATGTATTACGAGCCACTTGAATATAAGTATCAATACAAGGAAAACGAAAAACATATTTTATATTATACGGAAAGGTGACGTTCTTATACCTTTGGTAGATTGTCCTGAAAAACTTATATACTTATTTGTTGTAACCATATATTTAACAACCGATATTCGTTCGATAACCGATATTCGGCTCGTTAATCGTTTTTACTAAAATTCTTGTCCTCCAAATAGTCAGTAGAGTCAGTACTCAAGTTACCTACTGTTTAAAAAAGCGGACTATTACGTGATAGTTATACTACTATACACATTCACATTTTTAAAACATAGAGAACACTTTAGGATCCAGACCCTAAAGCTAAAACTAATAGGTACTAGCACTAATAGATTCTTGTTTAAGAAGATTACGTAATTTCCTTCCAACTACCACTAAAATTAAACTTGCACAATCAATTCTTCTACCTATTCTCGACTATGCCGATGTCAGCTATCTTGATCTGAACGAGGACCAATTTGATAAACTTGAGAGACTTCAGAATTGCTGTATACGATTTATTTTTGGCTTACGCAAATATGATCATGTTTCCTAATTTCGTACAAAACTCAAGTGGCTTCGAAAAAAGATTCGCATTTATGCATGACACACATATTCGATACTTGAGATCATTGGAGAATCTGACCTTAGAAATTCTAACACACTCCACAACTTTTACCGATACATCTTTTACGGTGCAAGCAGCACGCCTCTGGAATCGTTACCGGAAGTTATAGTGGGTACTTTTAAAGAACTTGTTAATGATCACTAAATAATGATACTCTGTAATAACTATATGCTATATGGGTATGTGTATGTATGTTTATGTGTGTATTCATATTTATATATGTATGTAAGCGTATGAATGTCTATTCGTGTTCGGGAAAAGATCAATAGTATATAAAATGTTTGTTATTCATTAAAATTGTTTTTATCACCTTCAAAGTATGCTCCTTCAGAAACGATACACTTACGCCAACGAATAATCCACTCATTAAAACATTTTTTAAACGCTGTTTCCGGAATTGAGTTCAGTTCTCGCCGCGAATTCTCCTTTATGTCTTCTACCGATTGAAAACGGTAATTTGAGTTTAGGAAAAAGAATGAAGTCGGCTGGAGCCATATCTGGTGAATATGGTGGTTGCTCGATGGTATTTGATGAGTGTTTGGTCAAAAATTCGTTCACAATGATGGCCTTGTGCGAAGGCGCATTATCGTGGTGCAAAATCCAAGAACTTTCTTTCCACAAATTTGGCCTTTTTTGACAAATAATATTCTTTATTTACCGTTTGACCATCCGGCAAGAATTCCGAGTGCACAACACCGCGATAGTCGAAGAAAACAGTCAACATGACTTTGACTTTTAATCACTGTGGCGTGGTTTTTTCGGTTTCGGTTCAGTTGGAAGGCGTCACTCCGAAGCTTGTTGACTAGTTTGCATGTCAAATTCTTAAGCCCACGTCTCGTCACCAGTAACAATGCGTTTCATTAATGTTGGGTCGAAATTGACTCGTTCTAGCATGTCCTCAGCGACTCTCATGCGATTGAATTTTTGGAGAAGATTCAGGTCTTTTGGGACTAGCCGAGCGGTAACATGTAAAAAGCGGTAAAAAGTAATAGTCGGTAGGTGCAAGGTCTGGTGAGTATGGCGGATGAGGGACAGCTTCCAACCCCAGTTCTTGACTGACAGACTGTCTGTTGCGCAGTATGGCGTCGCGCGTTATCGTGAAGGAGCAGTGGGGACGACCGATTGACCAAAGCTGGTTGCAAATGTGACCACCAGACCTTGCACCTACCGACTATTACTTTTTCCAAAATTTAGACAACTTCTTAGTGGGTAAAAAATTCAATTCCCGAGAGGCAGTACAAAATGCCTTTCAAGAGTTTGTTGCCTCCCGTCCAGCTGATTTTTACAAGAATGGCATCAATAAAATGCCAATGCGTTGGCAAAGATGCGTCGATTGCATGGGTGATTACTTCGAATAACAGAATTAAAAAAAGTTTGAAAAAAAAAGGGCTTTCACTTATTGCATACAAAACGGCAATTTCATAGGTAAAGACCTATTATTTCTATCTCATAAATCTATGTTAATGTTATGCGCAACTAAGGTCTTACCTTGAGACCCATATTTCCAGGAACTTCATCGTTTTCAAGGCTCAGGAAGCCAAGAGCTCCAAGCCTGTAGTTAAGTGTGACCAGTACTACGCCCGCCGCGACAAGATTGTCGGGTCCGTACAGAAAAGCGTTACCGGATCCCATCGCGAACGCCCCTCCATGGATCCACACCATCACTGCTAATTTGGGATTATACCTGAGGAAGCAGAAAATTACTTCAACATTTCATGTATATGTAATTATATAGAATTTAATTATATGAAATACATGAAGCAACCAATTATGATTTCATGGTAAAACTGACACCAGCTCGTGAAAATTAAGTTGATTATTAAATGTTACTTAGCGATATCGCCTTCTTTACCCCTCTTATTATAACTATTGTCAAGTTTGTGATGGCACTGCGATAAAGTTGACTACCCGCATGGCGTAGATGTTTCAGCAGTCACGTCACCAATTACTACTGCGCCGAGTGATGTGAGTTCGACCGACCCCCACATGGGACGACACTTTGTGTGATCAACAAATTGTTGTTCTGAGTCTAGGTGTTCTTTGTGTCTGTTTTGAAACTCATTTGTAAAAAGTTCGTTCGTCCGTGGTTAGGAAAGGATTACGACAGTATGAAGACTCAAAAAGGTTTCTAATTTTCTAGATATAGATTTTACTGGTGCAAAAAAATTAAGATCAATTTAGACTGTTGAGAATTTGACACCTCCCCTCAGTCTTAACCAAAAATTCTAGATCAACGATCAGGCCATACCGTAATATGCATTAAGCTTCTAACACGCATGGTTGTTGTTCTCACAAAAATAAGTTCTTGGGGATTCATCATCATCAACAACAGCCTCCCATAGTCCACTGTTAGCCAGACGAAATAGTAGGTATAGGGTTTGTTTCAAGTTTTCCTTCTCATTGCGGTGTTGTTGTCCTGAATATTTTGCTTTCTTAGTCGGCTCTTGTGACATCGACGGGAGGAATATAGGTGAACTACGTATTCTTAATTCGTCACACACGGACGAAATTGTCATATATGAACACCATAATTCAGAAATATTTTATTTAGGGGTGGAGACATTTTGTATACTTAATCCGTCACCATACAGACAAGGCAGTATTACGTACAAAAAGATCTGTAAGCAACGCCCTGCTCAATTAATAGCTGATGACATTATGTTATTACCCAGATGTTTTGTCCGGCAGCGCTGGTGTATAAACATTAAGGAACAAACAGTCCTCATCTCCCTTGTAAGTGTCAAACAACATGAAACGATGAGGACACACAGCGCCCTCTTCCAACGCATCTCGTACACCAGTCCAAGGCTCTAAAGGTACTGGTGGACGAAACCGCAGTGACCCACTGGGTGGCTGTGCATATCTGTAACAAAAGACTTCATTAATACATATATTTTTGTATTACGCTAAAGTAATATTTATGGTTTAAAGCCCATTTAATATAAACCTACTTGCGTATTTTAACATCACATAATCAAGTAACCACCCTATAATTACGAAAACTGTAGGAGAACATTATATTTAATAATGCACCGAATTACGAAATAATCAAAAAATATGAAAGTACAGAAACCCGTTTGCGTATAAACTTAGAATAAACTACTCTACTCTGTCTACGCCCTTAAATATTATTTAAAACTAGCTGGTGCCCGCGACTTCGTTCGCGTGGAATTTGAAAAGCGCTGCCTTAGTGAATTCGATTCCCGGACCTGGGCCTGAGTTACTCCTTATATAGACAGCTACTTGGTAGTAAAATATTATCAAAACCGTCCAGCCGTTTTGAAGATACCCGAAACAAACAGACAGACGTACAAAAAATATTTAAACTGGTTTTCAGGCATGGGTATCGTGCAAATAAAAAAACCTAAGCATGAAAAAACCTATTATTTTGACATTACAAACAGACACTTCAATTTTATTTATTTGAATAGATATGTACCTACCTTTACTTAATAGTTAATCATAATTGAGACCGCTCATTTTGACAGATAAAAAGTATAAAAGATAAGTGCAAAAGTGTTACAAGAACCGTTGTAACTAATTTGTGTGATATTGTGCAAACCCTTATCTAATTATATTAATTATTAATATATGTTTCAACCGAATCCAATAGCAGAAAAAAACGTGTTGGTGATTCACTTTTTACTTTGCATTCGCAAAAATCCAAATTCTTATGTGACCAAGGGCCCCGGCATTACGGAAAAATAAAATAATAAAAAGCAATCTAATGAAATTTCATCAAGAAACACTTTCAAGGTTCTTTAGTCGAGACTTAATGTTTAGAGAGTTATTGTTACAAAAGTCAATAAACTAGACATTCGCGTTGCAATCTGAGTAATCTGACACAATCTGTAGATATAGACGTATGGAGCGGCATTTGTGTATTGTATTACCTATGCGTCTAAAAATAGTTGAAAGGTCTCGTTGCAACGTCGCGACATCAGCTACTTTTTGACATACATAAAAATTAGTATTAAGGTACCGGCAATCAGCCGGAACAAACAGACAGGCATCAGACAAATACATAAAAACTTAAAAATATATTTTTATATTAAAATTCTATGACATAATCCAACTGGGTCGGAACCTATCAGCGCAGGGCGCTAGTTGGGCAAGCTGATTATGCTTGTTAGCAAGTTTTAATAAATTAGTGAAAAACTAATATGGCCCGGATGCCTGATAAGCCGAAATATCATATCATAATCATAGGAATAACTACTTTTCTTAGAAATCATTTGACTCTCCATGTATTTAAAGAATTGGAAATTAAATAATTATAGAACGGCGAACAACACTTCTCTGGACTCCGTATACCATATTGCTACTTACAAGCATAGACCAACAAAATATGTGACACAACATATTTTTATATAAACAATTATAAGGTTTCACATATTTTTTAACTATTCAAAAATATTGATGTTTTTTTCTAAGAGAGAGGACACAAACTTCAGGAGTTAATAGATAGATGTCTTACCTAATACCCTTAAAGCCGTAGTAAGGCGTTTGTGCGGTGGTTCTGGTAACAAGTTTCCGTCCACGCAGTGCTCCTAATTGTGTAAAGACTATAGGTCCTCCACCAACCCGTATACGATCCACTAGTGCGTGCACGAGACGCGCTGCTCTCGCTGGCACTGCCTGAAGACGCCGTAGAGCGTGCTTCAGACCAACTGACTCGCTCACTGTACTGGATAACCGCCTCCATGCACCCGTTACCTAAATATAAACATAAATTTATTATAAAGAGAGCCAAAAGTATGTTAGAAGGTTCGCATCAAACTATTCAATAATCATCATCGTCAACAGCCTATACTAGTCCATTGCTGGGCACAGGCCTCTCCTTAGAAAGGAGGTTTTGGCCTACTACACCATGCTGGCCAGACGTGTTTTTATAGGGTTTGTGTCAATAATTCCTTGTCTTTGTAGGGCTTTGGTCCTAGGTATACCATCTAATGATAAGGAGGTACTGTTATCAGTATTATATTCATTACGAAACTAATGGTAGAAAATTGTACAGAACATTTCCATTTATAACTTTTATTTTCTTTTAAATAGGGTTTCCCGTCAAATGAAAAGCAATCATCTTAGTAAGGGATTTTTACTACTTTTAAATATTTACATACGAGTGCATGCAAGGATAATAAAGTATAGAAAACGTAAATTTTAGATAAGTAATCAATAAAAAATTGGCAAGGATTTCTTTCAACGGTTAGTCATTGTTATGTTATTACGTGCACAATTACGTAAGGGTAAACTGCAGTTATCGATTTTTAAATATTTATTGATTGATTGATGCTTATTGAGTAGGCTATATATGCAAGTCTTGCAGTTAACGTACAAATTCGTGTCGTACATAACGTGTACATATACATGTCAAAGATTTTATGATTTGTTACACGTTGGTTATGGCAGCCGTCACGAATCTGAAACCCAAATGTCATAACATTTTACTTACTACTTTTTACGGGGATACTGAATACTTATTTTGACAATCAATATTTATTGATTGTGTAAATACTGTCTATGATTAATATTACTCATGCCGACTTGTATATAAACAAGTGAGATTGAATTGATTTGAATTTGAAGAACACAATATTTGTAAGCCTTTAGTCTAACTAGACTGTACTTTGATGTAGGTATTATTATAAACATTTTTAAATATCCCACTATTTAAAATTATTTAAAATAATAATTTGCTTAATAAGTCCAGTCGTTCTCATACTATGCACTTCACAACTAAAAGCGTTTAATTTTTACTTAAAAGTAAATTTATTCGTAAAATACATATACTTACAGTCCGAATATGGTCTTGCTAATGGTATTTGTATGGCTTTCCAATAATACTATAAATTGCATTAATGGTAATTATGTTCAAGTTATACTTTAAATTATACTATATCTACCGACATAATATTTAGTACTCCTAAATAATATTCAATCACGGTACTTTTAATACGATACTTTTATGTCAGATCTACATTTTGATCGAATACCATATTGTATTTTATATATTATAATATTTAATTTAAAGAAAATCAAAGTATAATCACGGTCGGGGAGAATGCGCGCTGATTTAAATGTTATCAATTTGAAATAATATAACCTAAAGTGGTAGTGTTTATGAAAAGGGGTAAAATGATTTGACATTAAAATACATACACACATCACATATGCATTTACATAGATGTTTGGCACAAACTAAACATGTCATGGATCATTGGTATGCACAATTTTGCTATCCAACATTGCACAGGCTAAAATATAGGTTTTAGAAGTGCAAAGTTTAGAGCGTGTATCTATAGTATAAGATATAATATAAAATACATAGGTAGGTACTCAATTGGCAACATTTGTGTAGAAGGGTTAGCAGACAGACAAGTGTGCACGAATCCAAGTGTGAATCAAAGATGGCGTAACGTTTGCATTTCGAATAGAATATTTTAAATGACCTTGGTACAAAATAAATATATAGAAAGTTTTGGACTATACTTTTTCCATTTCTTTTGATATTCAATAAGGCATTGTTTAAGTAAGTACATAAAATATTATTATTGCGCTAATTACTCAGCGCTACTAAAGGTGCCAGAATATATCTGAATACTCAACATAATCATACATTATATTGAAAATAGATATTTTCCCGTTACAAACAGAGGACGTACGTGGTAGAGCCATGATTCAGCACAAATGGGCCGACAGTCTCGATTGGAGACCACGGCTTCACAGAAATCCAGTGTTAAGCAATTCTTTCGATGCTTTTAACCGAGTGAGTGAGGTTACCCATGGTCCATGGCGGTCATAGGGCGGCGGTAGTCACTTACCATTGAGACGCCATTGTCATCATATCATCAACATGTCATATCATGAAAATTAAATAAATCATTTTCTTAGCAATTTAAATGTACCGATTACCAAACTATTACAAAGACATCGACGACATTTGTATCAGTGACAAGTCATTGGGAGGCCATTGGTCTTACATAGTTAGTAAATAGTAGAATAAGAAAAGTACCTTCCATAAAAAGAGGACGTTTTACTATACCGATCAATAGATACATAAATGCTGAAATGTTGAAATATAATAGGAATGGCATGGAAAGATTCAAACATTTTGAAACGGTTCCATTCCTATTTTGTGTAATGCTAACGTAGCAATTCGGTTTTGTTTATAACCACTTATATTATTTAACAGAGATTGGCGTGACAATGAAAAAAACTTTTCAAAATTGTTAGGGCATTGCCAGGTTCCTAATTCAAATGTAAAATATTGTTTTTTAACTGTCGCAGCATTTATGGCCGAACATTTAAGGGCACATATTATTTTTCATAAAACCTTTTTCCCATGCAGCCCGAAAATGATGAACGTGCTTGTTGTTATGTTGGAATTGCAGTTTATTATGTAATGACGGATACAGCTCAGAATCCGGTTGAGTTCTTTACAGTTACAAGAATGAAAACAAAATACGCATAAGGTTTAAAATGTTGTAATGATACATTACATAAGTGACGATACGCATCGCGAAGCGATTTAAGTGACCTCGCCCCACCAAAAGAAATCGTAATCCCAATCGAATTATGTTATCTGAGTGTAATACATAACATTTGTTCTATGGTTATGCATAATAGGTGTCATTTAAGTATACTGAAAACTACATTAAAAATTAATCGTGTTATAAGGCAGTAGTTGCTACTAGATACTTACATATTTACTATGCTACAAATATAGATCAAGAAATAGTAGCAGCTATGATTGCTTCTATAAACTTTAAATATGTTGTGTCTATGCATAAGATATAACTGTTTAAATAAAACTATAAAAGTAACTAATAAAAATCAAAAATCAGACAGGAAGTCGAAACTACACACATATTAAGTACAGATCTGATATTCTCGTTTTAGTACATTAGTACTTCGTCATAGTTCTAGGTGCAGCCAGAAGCATTTCATTCAAACATTATTGATATCATACATCTCCAATGTCAGTTTAGGTCGGCGCAATGTGTAAATGTGCAAAATGTTTTGGATAGTTTCTTTTACGGGCACTAGACAGTAGTAGCTCGAAGATGTTGAGATTACTCTGATCTATCTAAAATTAATTGGAATGAAACTTTGACAAATGGCTCAATAGACGATGCCACAAATGTCTTTTATACATATTTATGGAAACTTCGCGACGCGCACATACCTCAAAAACTATTCCATAGTAGTGATTTCCCTGTGTGGTACAACGCGTCCCTTAAAAAAGTTTTAAAAGAAAAGTATAAATATTACATAAAATACAAGAAATACAGTAATCTCGACGACTACGTGACTTATTCGTTGCTTCGGAAACGCGCAGCAAAGTACCTAGCTCGAGTCGAGGATTCTGTTGTAGATAACCCCCGCATGTTTTGGGGATACGTAAAATCACTCAATAAATCCTCACGTGCGCTTCCATCTGTAATGAATCTGGACAGCACTTATGCAGATACTGGAGAATCTGTTTGTAATTTGTTTTCACACTATTTCCAATCAACTTTCCTTGACGCCACAGTAAATGGAAGTGTATTACATTCCGATACTTCTAATAGTTAACACTCTAATGTTACTAGTATTTGTAATGTTAATATTACTCCAGAGGTAGTTGAGCGGCTGGCCCTGATGGTATACCTCCGTTCTTTATTAGGCAGTGCGCTCTAAATCTTGTATTGCCTTTGTATATAATCTTTTCACGGTCCTTAAAAGAGGGTGCGGTGCCTGCCGTTTGGAAGTCCGCCTTCATTACACCCGTTCATAAAAATGGTGATAGGTCGAATATAAAAAATTACAGGCCGATCTCCAAACTCTGTATATTCGCGAAATTTTTTGAAAGAATTGTATATGATCAGGTCTACGCTGCGTTACAGTCCATCTTTATACCAGAACAGCATGGCTTTCTGAAGCGAAGGTCGACTGTATCTAATCTGCTAGTATTTAGCGACTTTACAACCTCACAAATGGAGGTCAAGTGCATGCTGTGTTTACCGATTTTAGCAAGACATTCGATCGTATCGACCATTTGCTACTCCTTCAGAAGTTGAATAAAGCTGGAATACACGGTAACCTCTTCAGGTGGTTTTCCTCATACATTACAAATAGATCTCAGGCTGTTGCAATTAACGGCTTCACGTCTGCATGGATGCCGATCCCTTCTGGTATTCCTCAGGGTTCCTTATTAGGACCATTGCTCTTTATTATTTTTATTAATGACATTGGCTCATGCTTTAATCACGCTAGTTATCTTTCCTATGCAGATGATACAAAAATATTTATGGCCATTAATAGCCCCTCTGATTGTTAGTTACTGCAAATGGATTTGGATAATTTTGCAAAATATTGTAAACATAACAAATTGGACCTTAATGTATCCAAGTGCTTTGCAGTCAATTTTACGCGTAAAATGAACCCCACTCAATTTAGGTACACTATTAATTATGAGCCGCTTGCTTATGTCGCGTCAATAAAGGATTTAGGCGTTATATAGGACTCTAAACTAATATACGATAAACATATTGACTTCATCGTGAAAAAAGCCAACAAATCCTTAGGTTTTATTATTAGATCAACCTCAAATTTTAACAACATTAAACCTATTAAAGAACTTTATTGTACACTGGTACGCAGTATCCTCGAGTATGCGTCTGAGGTTTATAACCCGCATTGTAATATATATATTGATCGTATTGAGTCCATCC